CTGCCCCCCACGCTCTTGTTCGGGCTGTCTCTCTGCATGACCCTCCTGCCTGACCAACTCTTCCACATCCTTCACTTTTGGTCAGTTGTCTGTACGCTCTCCTAGCACCCTACATGTCTCCTTTATGGCATTCATCCAGGTCATAACTGGAAAATTATTTGAATTGTGTTTTTATTCAATGACTGTCACCTCTGCTTGACACTCTTTGTGACCAGGGACAAGTCCTCTTTGTACTTAATGTGTTCCAGTTAATACCCGGGTTCCAGGCAGAGAAAAGAGATGATAGTCATGAGCCTGTTGTGATAAAATTCCCAGGCAGGAGGATGCCCTTATCACTCTTGCATTTCCTTCCAGGGTCCTCCCTGTTTGTCATCGGCAATGATCTATAATGTCTGAACCAAATGTTTCGCATTGCCCCTCCCTTTGTTTGGAGGAGATTGAAAAAGGACTGTTTTTAGCTTTCTCTTTCTCTTTAGCCTTCGGTCCGAAAGCTTGTTTCTAGTCTTCTCATTGTCCTTTCTGAGCCTTCTCTCAGGCCATGAGAAAGCAAAAGTTTGTTATGCTGTGGGGTGATGACCTGACATTTACTGAAATTTGTGATATTGTCATGTTGTCAAGTGATTCAGCTGCATGAAAAACATAAAATACGCATTGTTTTTCTGATTTTAAGAGTGATTTTGTTATTTAAAATAGTTTAAGAATACACTAAAGGGTCAAGAAAAGAAGAAATGGTAGACATTCCTCAAATTTTTTTATCCTAAAATAGGGTACTGCCGTATGTCAATTTTTGTTCTGCTTTTAACAATTATTAATTTAATAATTCAACCAGAGAGAGACAGAGAGAGAGAAAGGGAAAATGAGAAAGCAAACCACTGGTCTGGGACTTGAACTACGGTTAGTCATGTGGGAGTCTAGTGCCTTAACCACCACACCACTTGCTGTCTCCTTATCCTGCTTTTTAAACCTCACTTTGATATTTTGACAAAAGCCCTGAAAAGTGGGACTGAAACCTAATGGAGCCAAGGTTTGGGCAAGCCCTCCGTTCAAATAAGCCTGTCAGTGGCTTATAGCAGGACCTGCTCCCTCTAGAGACAGAGGGAGGAACTGGCTGCTCTGAAACTGACTGCAGAGCTTTCCCTCTTTCGTGCATGCCACCAGCCCTGGCCTGGCCCTTACAGCGGCTGACACCTGCCGTCCTGCCTCTCTGCGGATGCCCCCCACACTACAGCTTATATCGCTTCTGTTCTGGTATGGTCCTTGAGCCAACCTTTCCAGGTTTAATGGTGTTGAATACTCATGAATCCTCTTTACCAGACCAATTGCCTATGTGTTTGTTGATATTTGCTCTTGTTCATTTTCATTTTACCTTTATAAATGACAAGGCTTGTTTATTTTCCCTTATATAACACCTAACATGGACTCTGAGAATTTATCCCCAATCCAACTGGTTACTTGTTAAAAAAAAATATTAAAAAAAAAATTCTGCCTTGGGGCCAGCAAGTGACATGATGGTGGTTAAGGTGCTAGATTCCATATGACCTGCTACAGTTCAAGTCCCTCACCCGACAGCATAAAAATCATGCTGAGAGTGTGTACATGCATGCCCAAAATCCAAAGAGGAAAATGGAGGAGCAGGGATTGAGGCCTAGCCATTGCCCCCCCCCCCCCGGGGGGGGGGGGGGGGGCGGAG